TCATGGAGGTTGTTGTTGTTGTTAAGTGCCGTCGAGTCGGTTCCAACCATAGCGACCCTGTATAGGGTTTCCGAGGGTGTAAATCTTTACGGGAGTAGAAAGCCTCATCTTTCTCCCGCAGAGCGGTTGGTAGTTTCGAACTGCTGACCTTAAGGTTCACAGCCCGATTCGTAACCACTACACTGGTAGTAACTCTAAATGCCAACAGAGAGGGCAGGAGTCTTCATATCCAGTATCAATGTTATCCCTCTGTACACAGGGTAGATAGGGATGGAAACTTAGACACTGGTTACCTAAAATGAGGGGGCAATAAAGGCATGAAGTGACTGGCTTACAAAGTTTCAAGAAGGGGGGTGGGGAAGAAAAAGTCCCCACTGAATAGTTTTTACCTTGTCTAGATGGGTCTGGTCAAAAGAGATGGGGATAAGATTCATATGACTCAATAGTGAATCATTGGTGTCATGACTAACTGTGACTGTCACAACTGGAAAAGTAGAAGTTTTGTAATAAAAACAGGGAAGCGGTTAATCTTACAGTCCAGAAGCAGAGGACCCTAGGACCATCAAAGGAGAAGAGCACAAGCAGAATGCGGGACCTTATCCAGAGAAGTAGCGATGCCAGAGATGGAGGCAGAGATGGGGACATGGAGAGGGGGAGTGGCTGAGGACTCTAGATTCATAGGAAGAGAGAGACTAGGAGCCAGTGGCCAGGAGGCAGAGTTGCAGAATGTGCCCTTTGGTGGTATAAATTATTACATATGCCTGAGTGGTTGTTTTGTTGTTGTTTTTTTGTTTTTTAAAAGAGCTAAAGTGAATATAGAGAAATACTGTTAATTGATGGTACAGGGAGGGGATTATAACCATTGTAATGAAATAAGGTCTATGATTTGTTGAATGTAAAACTGATGATCTGCCCTGTAAACTTTCACTCAATCCACAATAAAAATCTTTTAAAAGGAAAAAAAAAAGTCATTTCTGTGCTTACAAGACTTAATAGAGGTTACAGTGTTTATTTCGTAAATAAGAGAAAGGTCAGTTGCGGGGGTAAACTGATTTTTAAATTTAAGTAACTCTTTAAAACATAAGAGTTACTTAATGAACAAAGAGTAATTCTTTCGTAATGTCCCCTTCTAATGGAATTTACCTTGAACTTGATTAGATTGTATTAAAAAACACTCTCAGATAAGAGAGACATTAAAAATAACCTGAAACACTACACTTGTCTGCTTGGACTTTCCAAAACATTAGAATAGTAACAGCAAGTACAGACTAAAATGAATGCAACCAATAACTCCTTTCAAGTCAGTACTGTAGGGTATTAACAATAACTGGGGAAACATTCCGGTGTAAGCCAGGTGGCCAGGGTTCAAGTCCTAGGTTTGCTGTTAAATAGCTGTGTGGTGCTGGGGAAGTAACTTATCTCTGAGCTTCAGCTTTCTAATAGGAAACATGAAATGTTTGGATAAAGTAAAATTAAAGAGCACTTCTGTACAGGGTTTCCCAGAAGAAGCTGGTGGGTTTGAACTGCTGACCTCGTGGTTTGCAGTTCGGTACTGATTCTACAGCATCACATCAGGAGTCCATAGATTAAATTGCAAACCCCAAATTATATGCAGATTGGTCGGACCATGATTCTCAGTGGTTTGGCAGTTATGTTATGATCCCCAAGAATGTGATGTTATGCGATAAGCCAAGAATAGGGTCAAGGGAGTCCTGATATGGTGCTCTAGGATAAGCACTGGACTGCTAACCACAAGGTCAGTGGAGCCAGCCACTCCTTTGGAAACCCTGTCCAGAGTTGCTATGAGTTGGCGCCAACTTGATGACACTTAACAACAAGAAGAACATCCCACACTTAATCTCATCAGGACCCTGGTGAGATGTAAGGGAGTTTGCAGGGATGTGACCTGTAACACCTTTTACAAGAGATAAAAGGAGAGAGAAGTGAGCAGAGAGAGAAGGCCTTACTACACTACTACCATCAAGGAAGAGTTGGAAATGGAATGAGTCCTTTGGACTTAAGATTCCTGAACTGTAAAGCTCCTAGGTCTAGGAAAAGATTGATGCCAAGACACATAAAGTTCTCCAAAGAGCTACCAATGCTGAAAGGAGACAAGGACTTTTCCCCAGAGCTGACAGACAGAAGCCTTCCCCAGAGTTGGCTCTCTGAATTTTGTACTTCTTGCCTTCTATCCTATGAGCAAATATATTTCTGTTTATTAAAACCATCCATTTGCGATATTTCTGTTATAACATGGCTAGACACTATGCCAAGAAATTTGGAAGGCAGCTACCTGAACAACCAACTAGAAGAGAACTGTACTGTGTCCATTTCAAAGAAAGGTGATTCAACAAAATACAGAAATTATTGAACAATTTCATTAATATCACAAGTTAGTACAATTGTGCTGAAGATAATTTCAAAATGGTTACAGTAGTACATTGACACGAAAGTGTCAGAAATTCAAGCAACAGTCAAAAGAGAATGTAGAAGACGGCCTATCACTGTATAAGGTACATAGATCTTAGCTGAAAACAGAGAATACCAGAAAGATGTTTTCTTGTGCGTTGTTGACTATGCAAAGGCTTTCAACTGTGCAGTTCATAATAAATTATGGATGACACTGTGAAGAAAGGGAAACTCATAACACTTAATTGTGCTCATGTGAAACCTGTACATAGACCAAGATGCAGTTATTCAAACAAAACAAGAGGGTACTGCATGGTTTAAAATCAGGAAAGGCTAGTGTCAAAGTTGTATCCTTTCACTACAATATTCAATCTGTATGATGAGCAAATAATCAGAGAAACTGGATTATATGAAGAACAAGCCATAAGGATTGGAGGACACTCTTTAAGAACCTACAATATGCAGGTGATACAGCATTGTTTGCTAAAAGGGAAGAGGACTTGAGTACTTTCTGATGAAGATCAAAGACTACAGTTGGTCATCAGTATGGATTGCACATCAATATAAAGAAAATGAAAATCTTTACAACTAGACTAACAAGCATCATCAAGATGGGTGGAGTAAAGAGTGAAGTTGCCAAGGATTTCATTTCACTTGAGTACAGAATCAATGCCCATGGATGCAGAAGTCAAGAAATCAAATGGTATAGTACACTGGATAAATCAGCTGCAAAAGGCATCTTTAAAGTATTAAAGAGCAAAGATGTGACTTTAAAGACTAAGGTGTGCCAGACCCAACCCATGGTATTTTTAATCACCTTATATGTGTGGAAAAACTGAACTATGAATAAGGAAGACTGGAGAAGAATTTATGTTTTTAAATTATGGTGTTGGTGGAAAAATAATGATTATAGATAGCAAGGACTGCCAGAAGAATGAACACATCTGTCTTGGAAGAAGTACATCCAGAATGCTCCTTAGAAGGGAAGATGGTAAGACTTAAGCTCATGTACTTTGAACATTTTATAGAAGATATTATTGCATGATAAAACAAAGAGTGGGGGAAGTAGGATTTGAGTGAAATGTTAAATAAAAATCTAAAAAATACTCAGCCAATATTCTTCACTTCACTGCCCCCTAATTTGTAGTCATTTGAAATGGAGGAAACTTGTATATCACTCCTTAACCTAAGAAATTCCCATTACACACACATAAATGGCAGATTTCTTCCACATAACAAAATCATTCACTATTTTGAGGAACCAAAGAAACCTAATTATTTTTCCCTCTAGAGTTCTCGCTCTTATTGTTTAATGTTATATCTTATTTTATAGTGTCTTATCCTATTTTGCATTCATTGGCATTTCTGAGGTGCTGAATTGACAGCAGGAGAAACAACTGAAAACTTACTTGTAAGATCTAGCCACCCACCTATTGATCAATTCATTTATGCATTTACTCTTTTAATGAACATTAATTGAGCAGGTAGTCTACACAAGGCATTACGATAAGGTTGTGTGGGATAGGGAGAAGTTTACAGGTTTGAAGGGCAGAACAACATGACATAGGTTGCTCTAAGTGACGATCACCTATATGTTGAGACATAGTGAGAGTGAAGTATAAAGAGTGCTATTTAGTGGGTGGTCATATTGGACAGTTCCACAGCTTCTTAAATGGATAAATGGCCGTGGAATGTTGTATGAAGAGAAGAGCTTGCTTTTCTCACTAGCGGATGGAGAGCACTCATTAAGGGTATGAAAACTTTGTTCACTGGGTTCTGCCATCTGATACCATGTTAATAAGATAAATGCTTTCATTTTCTCTAACCATGCCTTACTCTCAACTTACAAAATACCTAGCCTTTAAACCATTTTAGCAAGTGAAAACCATAAATGTCCAATTTAATGTCTAGTTGCAAGAAAATGACCCTAAAGCATTTTGGAAATGGCATAATTTATGTATTTTGGAAACAACAAATAAAACATACCATTGCCACTTCCTTATTATTATCTTCAGATGACCCACAAATTGACTTTAAAAGCCATTTAACTTGTTTCCTTCTTTCTATTCTTGTAATGACTCACCTCGGTCCTGATTCCGGTGACGTTTCCAGTATAATAAGATTGAAATCAAGACCAGAAGAATTACCAGGGATACAATACTTAGCAACAGAGGAATTGAAAACCAAAAGCCTGCGGATATTGAAGAAAAGGAAAACAAAATCATCAGAGGACTACATCACAGTAGGTAAAACATGATAAAGCAATGGCTGTTTTTACAAGAGTTGATCTTGCAATTAAAATTGTCACTAAAATAGGTTTTGTGTTATATCTATGACTTCATTTACCTTAATAACATCTGAATAATAACAGCATACTTTTTGTGATAACTATATAAGAGCTATGTGTCTGATCTCATTTAGTCCACAAAATCCCCCATAAGTTAGCTATTACTATTAATAACCACATGGGACTCTTGGTGTGGTGCTGTATGATCAGCACTGGACTGCAAACCACAAGGGCAGCAGTTCAAACCCACCAGAGGCTTCTTGGAAACCCTATACAGAGTTTCTATGAGTTGGAACCAACTTGACAGCACTTAACAACAACAACAACATTAACAGGTGAAAAACTCGAGGCTCAGAGACGTGAAGTGAGCTAAAAGTCCCACAGTAGTAAATGGTGGAGTCCAGCCTTGGCCATATGTCTATTGGCCTTCAAACCGCATATTCTCTTCCATAGAGTCCGCTAAGGTCATATAAGCTTATTAAGGAAAATTGAGAATATCTAGAAAATTACAAAGAGCAAAACAATCTCATAATCACATACCCCAGAAATCATTCATCTCAATGTTTTTGTTGCATTCCTTCTAATGTAGTGCTTTGCGATTAAATTTCTTTTCAATAGTCAATACACACACCTTTCTTCCCAGTCAGTCTGAAAGTCTCATACAACACACAAGTCCCCACTGACAGATTAGTATATTTTCTTCAGGTGAATTTGCAGAAAATTGAAACAGGTCTTCTGCATTGTTGTTGTTGTTAGGTGAGATTGAGAAAGCACTAACTCATAGCAACCCTATGCACAACAGAATAAAACACTGCGTGATGCTGGGCCAGCCAACCTCACAATCATTGCTACATTTGAGCCCATTGAAGCTGCCACTGTGCCAGTCTATCTCATTGGGGGTCTTCCTCTTTTTCTCTGACCCTTCTCCAGTGACTGGTTCCTCCTGATAATATGCCAGAAGTATGAGAGACAAAGTCTGGTTATCCTAGCTTCTAAGGAGTACTCTGGTTATACTTATTCCAACACAGATCTCTTTATTCTTTTGCAGCTCATGGTACTTTCGATATTCTCCTTCAACACCATAACTCAAATGCATTAATTCATAATGATATTCTTTATCAACTGTCCAACCTTCACATGTACACGAGGTTAATGTGTTTGGGTCAGGTGCACCTTAGTCCTCAAACTGACATCCCTGCTCTTGAACACTCTAAAGAGGTCTTGTACAGCAGATTTGCCTAATTCAATACATTGTTTGATTTCTTGACTGCTGCTTCCATGATTGTTGATGGTTGATCCAAGCAAAATGAAGTCTTTGAAAACGTCAAACTTTTCTCCATTTATATGGACGTTGTTTAATGATCCAATAGTATTTTTGTCTTATTTACACTGAGGTGCAACCCATACAGAAGTTTGTGGTCTTTGATCTTCATCAGAAAGTATTTTAAGTTTCAGCTAGCAAGGTTATATCATCAGTATATTGCAAATTGTTAAGGAGTGTTCCTCCAATCCTGATACCATATTCTTCTTCATATAATTCAGCTTCTCAAATTACGTGCTCAGCATACACATTGAATAAGTATGGTGAAAGAATACAACCCTTTCCTAATGTTAAACCATTCCTAATTTTAAACCATTCAGTGTTCCCTTGTTCTGTTTGAATAACTGCCACTTCATCTATGTACAGGTTCCACATGAGCACAATTAAGTGTTCCGGAACACTCATACTTCGCAATGTTGTCCATAGCTTGTCATGATCCACACAATGAAAAGTCTTTGCGTAGTCAATAAAGCACAGGTAAACATGTTTCTGGTATTCTCTGCTTTCAGCCTGCTCCATCTGACGTCAGCCATGATATCCCTCATTCCACATCCTCTTCTGAAACCAGCTTGAACCTCTGGCAGTTCCCTGTCAATGTACGTTTGCAGCTGTTTTAAGATTATTTTTTTTTAAGTTTTACTTGTAGGTATCCTGTATGGAAGGGGAAAATTCTACCACTGCAAACCTTTTTGACCAATTTTACCCAAACATCCACTCTGATTAGTCTGGTTTTTGTTCAGAGACACCAGAAATGCCTATAAGAGATGCTCCTTAGGGACTATTGCACCCTGCAAGCTTGTGCAGGAACACTTTTCCCAGGTATTTCTATTCAAAATGCCACCCTCTCACTTAGAAACTAATTAATTAAAGAACAACAAGAGGCATTTAGTAGGTTTGCTACTGAGTGTTTCATTTATAGTTAGCACTTCAGACTGCATAGGGAAAGAAAACTGTTGCTGTTATTTCTAAAACATTTGATCTCTAAAACCAAGGTTCATTTTATTCTCTCATCCATCACTGTTCCTTCTGAATCGATAAGACTTAGAATCAACTGTTTAGAGAGAAACACAAGCGAGCAGAGGGGAAACTGAATGGGAGACAGCTAGTTTTAAAAGGGGAGATGAAGACACCTTAGGTCGGTCCCTTTCCTAGAAGCTTTATTGGCTGTTTCTCAAACTGCAGACTATACAAAGATTTCATCAGAGATATGACTTGCAGGAAATCTTCTTTAACAAAATTGAACTTGCCTGAGACTGGTCCCCAGTACTCCACGGAACACTCTTATTAAAGCATTTAACCCACAACTGCACAACTGCACAGCCATTTCTCTGTATTCCTTAGTAGACTAAGGAATAGCACTTAGTGGCCTAAGCATTCTCTGAGGGCAGGGCCCGAGTACTGCTCACTGTTGTATGTCCTGTGTTCAACACAGAACTTGGCACACAACAGACACTCCGAAATGTTGTTGTAATGCAATAATAAATGAATGAGTGAATCTTAGTAAAAATAATTCACATGTGGACACTGTTTTTAAAAATCTGCTTAATTTGCTTTCACAACTCTGTCTTCCTTTTCCTAATTACCCTCTTCCCTCCCCATGTAGCCCCCTTGTTAGGAGTAAGGTACTGTCTTCGCAGTTCTTTTCACAGGTGTGACCACAGCTAACTTTACCCACCCTCTCTTACCTTTTGTGACAGTTTGCTTGAAGTCTTTTACAGTCCCCAGATGTAGCACTTTGCAGATCACCTCCTTCCCCACCTGACTTTCGGGGTCTCTGATGTGCAGGATGCTCGTGACAGATGTAGTCCCATTGGGGTGTGACAGGCTTTCAGTGCTGTTCTCAATCCCTGACCCATCCACCTTCCAGTTGATAATGGGGGCTGGACGGGCAGTAGCAGAGCAGGTGATATTTAAGTGGTCTTCAAAGAATGTGTAGTTAAGAGATACTATGGGCTGTACTGGGACAAAAAAAATAAAAAGGTCTACCGTCAGCTACACACCTGCTTATCCCTTTAACTTTCCTCAGAAATGAAGGAAAGATAGAGCTAGCTAGAAAGATAGGGTGCCCCATCCCACACAAACCTCTCCCAGTTCTTTCTGTGACTCAATCTCTGACTTGCAAGATGGAGACTGGCCTAATACAACCCTAAGATGACATACCCTCTCTGAAATGTGTCCCTAGGATGCAGCAAGGACACTGAGAAGTCAGATACTCTTCTTTCCCAAGCAGTCCACAGTTCAAGTACTCTGTTCTCTTCCTTGGACAATGCAGGACCTTTGACTTATACTGAGCATTCTGCTCAAACAGTTTGGCAATCATCCCTGAGCAGCCCCTCCTTGCAAATAGCCCACACTTCTTACAGCACCAGCTGCTGTCTGTTTGAAGCTAAACCAGGGAATGAAAGGAATGGAGATTGGAAAATTCCTGCTTGGAAGATCACACAAAATGCAAATGATAATTTGAAGTTATGAGAGAAAGTTTTCTATTTTTGAATTTTTATTTTCGGGCTAGCTACAATCTGTTCTCTTAAATAGAAATGAATGCTTTTATTTTTTTTGGAACCTAAAACTTATCTCTACAGAGCAAATGCAGACTTGCCTTTTTGTGGCTGGCTTTGTAGCCCATACGTCAGTAAAGAGTCGTGTTAAGCAAAGACATGATCTATAATTAATGATCTATAATTACATGTTCTGGGGTTGGGGGGAGGGCGGGTTGCAGTAGGATGGGGGAAGTGGGGCTACAGAACTGTAGTTTTGTGCAAAAAGTGTCCAGATTATTAACGGCACTGTGCACTGCAGGAAGAAAGATAAAAATGAAGAAAGAGGATTATGGCTGATGTAGCCAAACTGCTGTCAGAGTTCCTGAGTGTGGCAAAGAATGGCCTACATGAAATCTGTAAATTTTGGCTAGAAAAGCTTAGCATAAACAATAACATCAGGATTACCAGCTATAAAATTCAGAGGTTTCTGTTTAAGAAAGCAGTGATAAGGTGAATGAAAAAAAGAAAAAAGGAACAGAAATAAAATATGGTATAAGAAAGGAAAAAAAGGAATATGAGATAGGCAAAAAGAAAGAGAAAGAAGGAAGGGAAGGAGACTGGAGGTAGAATAGAATGAACGACTAAAGCAAAAACCAAGAAGAAAGCTGGGCATAAGATCTTATACAGAGGACTCACTGTAGGCAAAATAAGTGAAAGAAAATTAATTGGTGATGTCATATCTGGCTTGCATTTTTACCAATTGTCTTCCCTCATATCTAACATCCTTAGCATGCTCAAACTCTCCTTTTAGTATTCTTAACTATCCTGTCTAAGCTTGTCTTTGTCCTAAAATGACCACCAAATGTCCCCTGCGTTAAAGTTACTCCTTAGTCCTACTTCTCAATCCTAAATCTCATAATCTCATCAAACCAGTACTCCTGGGTTTTAAAAGAATGCCTACTATTCTGTTACATTCCAAGTTCTCATTACTTCAGATATGATGAGCCTCCTCTGCATGTTTTCTTACCAATCCTGAGGCAGCTATCCTGAAGCCAAATGAGAATCTATCATTATAAGTAGCCCTGATGTTAGCCCAATATGACTCTGTCCTTTAAATCAAAATACTACTAAAGCTTTAAAGGACAGTAGCAGAGCAGGTAGAGAAATTCAGGTGCAGACAGTGACGGTGACCATTCTAGAGTCACATGATTGCTAGTGACAAAACCAGATCTGACAATATTGCTGCTACAGAGAGCTTGTTGTACTGATCACCATCATCTTAATTTACTCTTGCAGATAGTGGGATCTCCCAAAGATTGTTGTTGTTGCCTGTTGCCATCAAGTTGGTTCCAGATCATGGTGATCCCATGTGTGTACAGTAAATGTGTTCCATAAGATCATCAATGGCTGTGACCTTTTGGAAGCAGATGGCCAGTTCTTCTTTCCAAGGAGCCTCAGGATGGGTTCAAACCACCACCCTTTGATCTAGTAGCTGAGTGCTTAACTATTTGTGCTACCCAGGGCACCTCTTCAGAGCAAAGATAGCTCCTGGCAAAGATCTCAATGTAACCCATGAACATTCCAGTAGCTATAACAATAGTTACAATAGAATGGGAGGCTAACCTTTCTGTGGTTAAGACCTTGGAAAATGAGGCACAGCAACCATGTTCCAAAGATTCTGAAAAATAATCTCTGCCAAAAACAATGCATTTTCAGAGATGCTCACCATAGAGTGTGAGGCAGGTTTTTCCTGAAATCTTCCCAGAACCAAAGGTATTGAAGAGGCACATGTAACACCCCTCATCTTCCAGGGTGGTATTCCAGAAGGTTATGGTTGAGTCGCTGAGTCCCAGATGTGTGATGTTTACCCTGCCCTTAAAGACCGGCTGAACCTCAACCCCATGGTTCTTACTGAAGGTGACCATGTTTTCTGGGCTTGTAGCCTTCATTTTCTGCCATGTTACAATCAAGACTTCCTGATGAGTTTTCAGAGAGCAACTTAGGGAGGCTGATGTATGCAGCAGCTCTCTTTCATTCGTGGTCACCACTTGCCCTGTGAAAACAAGCATTTACATTTTAAAACATTAAATAAATAAATAAACAAGCAAACAAACATAGTTTCTGACTACAAAAGTAATGCATGTTTAAAGGCAAATATAGAAAAGATGGAGAACAGGGGCTACAACGTGCCCAGTAAAAGAGGCTTCCTGTGGGGCCTCTGCAATACATAAGACTATAGGTGGAAGCCTGAACCACATTCAGATCTCCAGAAATGGAAAATTCCCACTTGAAAGGACAAGCAGACCATCCTGGAGTGGCTAGAAGAACAGAAAACACTTCTTGAAAGAAAGACCTACAGGAAAAAATATAAAACAACATAGGCAGACCGACTGTTACTACAAGAACAAGCAACTTGCTTGCCCAGGAAACATCAAGGCAAGTGGTCGGGTCCCCTCAGTGCAAACCCCTTTCCAAGACTAAGACTCAATGGGAAAACACGCTGTGATTGGTTACCACGCTCGACATCGATAAGAGGAAGTGAGGGAAAAACAGCAATGAAGTGGTGAGCTAAGCCCTACAAC